GAGAGGGAGAGGGAGAGGGAGAGGGAGAGGGAGGGAGAGAGAGAGTTTGCATGTGTGGGGATACACATGTGCAGTTGTGTGTAACTGTTTGCTTGTGTGTTTGTGGAGGTGAGAGGCTGACATCAGATGTCTTTCTTGGTCTCTTTCCAACACACAGGCACCCATGCACACACGCACACTGTTGAGGCAGGGTCTCTGACTTGAACCCAGAGCTGGATGATTCTGCTAGAGTGGATAGCCAGTTTGTTCTGGAGACCCCCATCTCCATCTTCTAGGTGCCAGGATTACACATGAGCCACCACACCTGGCTGGTTTTGTGTGGGCACTGAGGATCCAAACTCCAGTTCTTAGGTTTGCATGGCAAGCTCTTTACCCGTTGAGCATCTCCTCAGTCTCCCAGTAGCCTTTTGGTATGGCAAATGAAAACAACTTCTAGCCGGTCAGTGTTGGCGCACGCCTTTAATCCCAGCACTCAGGAGGCAGAGCCAGGTGGAGGCCAGCCTGGCCTACCAAGTGAGTTCCAGGAAAGAAAACTTCTTAGAGACTGGGAAAGATGTGAGCCCTATCTTTTGGGATCTGGGCTGTTTGGCATTTCTGTTGTTTTGAGACAGGATTTCATGTAGTCCAGGCTTATTTCCAGCCTTGAACTCTTGATCCTCCTGTCTCTACCTCCAAAGTGCTGGATTCGCAGCCACACAAACAGAAAACTGGAGAAAAGGGGGTTCTCTCTCTCTCTCTCTCTCTCTCTCTCTCTCTCTCTCTCTCTCTCTCTCTCTCTCTCTCTCCCTCTCTCTCTCTCTCTCTCTCTCTCTCGTGTGTGTGTGTGTGTGTGTGTGTGTGTGTGTGTGTGTGTGTGTTCGTTCCTGACAATATGCTCTCTGGGCAGAAATGTTTAGAAAACAATGACTCATGTACTGGATAGCCCATGGGTCCCCTAAAGCCACACCTCCTGCCTTCTGAAGCTGCCCTAGGAAGAACTCAACTTCCCTAGAGACTGGGCTGTAATTAGAGACTCCACACAGCAGCTGTTATGGATGGTTTCTATGCCTGTTCGCCCATCCCACCCCTTGTCTTCCTTAGCCATGCACAGAAAAACAAATGAGTAATTTTCTCATATGCACAGGTTTCTCAGAGTGTGGCTTTTAGATATAGATAGAGCCAGGAGTTTTGATAATGTCTTTTTAAAAAATTTTGTATGGGGGGTTGGAGAGATGGTTCAGTGGTTAAGAGCACTGGCTGTTCTTCCAAAAGTCAATTCCCAGCAACCACATGGTGGCTCACAACCATCTATAATGGGATCTGAAGCTTTCTCTGGTATGCATGCAGACAGAGTACTCATACCTAAAAATACACATAAATAAATAAAATTTAAAAAATTGTGTGTGGTGTATATTTGTATGTATATGTAATCGTGTGTGTGTGTGTGTGTGTGTGTGTGTGTGTGTGTTATTTGTTATTGTATATGTGTTATCAAGTGTTTTGCTGTATATGTGTGTAATTATATGTGTGTGTGATGTGTGTTAGTGTATGTCTGAAATTTTGTGTGTGATGTGTTAGTGTATGTGTGTGATTATGTTTGTGCTCTAGTCCTTGAGGACTGTATTAGTTATTTGTCTTGTTTCTTTGACAAACACCTGACAAAGGCAACTTAAGGAAGGAAAGATTTGTTTCCATCATGGCTGGGAAGTCACAGTGGTACAAACTCCTGAGGTGGTTGGTCACGTTGCACTCATGATGCTTAGGAATCAGAGAGATGAATTACTTGTGTTCAATTTGCTTTTTCCTGTAAAAATTATTAGTGTGTGTGTGTGCACACTCCTGTGTGTATCCCATGACATGTATGTGTCCAGAGGACAACCTGCAGGGGTCGTTTCTCTTTTTCCACAATGTGGGTCCCAGGGATTGAGCTCAGGTCATCAGATTTATCAGCAAGCACCTTTATCCATTGAGCCATCTTGTGTCCCTGCTTCCTCTTTTTTATTCAGTCTAGGACCCCAGCCCATGGAATGGTATCATCCATGTTTGGGATGGGTCGTCCCACGTCTGTTAATCTAATTTAGAAAATCTGTCACAGACATGCCCAGTGATTTGTCTCTAAAGTGTTGACAATATAGACCCTCAGAAGGACCACCAAGAATGGATAGTTACTTAGGAATATCATGAGAGTATTTCATCAAAAGAAGAGAACGTTAGGCAGGCAGGTGGACAGGATGCTCACTGTAGGCTAAAAAGCACACAGTAGCTCTGGGGAGGGGACACATGGGCCTACCAATGGGAGTTTGAAAAAGCTACCTAAGGAGAGGACATCTAGAGCTGGGCTGCTGAAGGATGACTAGGAGTTTACCAAACCGCAACCTGGAGTGACAGTGAGCTTATATCCTAGCAAACAGTGATGCCAGTATAAGCAAGAAGCCCTACCGCCATTCACAAGTCTTATCTCTGTATCCTTCCAGTGACTGTCCCTTCTGCCGAATCTGTCACGAGGGAGCGAATGGGGAGAACTTGCTGTCCCCGTGTGGCTGCACCGGCACGCTGGGAGCTGTGCACAAGAGCTGCCTGGAGAAATGGCTGTCTTCCTCCAATACCAGCTACTGCGAGCTGTGCCACACTGAGTTTGCAGTTGAAAAGCGGCCCCGACCCCTCACAGAGGTATATTGCTTGAGGGGAAGACTGGACATCCAGAAGGGAGGAAGGGCAGTTTTGGGACAGAGGTAGCAGCTGGCCAGGTTAGCTGGGGAAGCTGATTATGTCCCTGCCAGTACTGGGAGGGATCTGCTAATGTGTGGGATCCTGACTGACCAGAGGCTGTAGGTCTGCAAACCTCTGCCCGCCTTGCTCACTCTCTCTCTCTGTCTCTGTCTGTCTGTCTTTCTCTGTCTGTCTGTCTTTCTATCTCTGTCTCTCTCTCTCTTTGTCCTCTCTGATGGTTGTTTTGCTTTGTTTTTGAAGCAGAGTCTCAGGTGTCCTAGGCTGTCCTCAAAGTAGCTTTTAGCTGAAGATGACTTTCCAACTCCTGGTCATTCAGCCTCTACTTCCCCAGTGCTGGGATTACAGGCAAGCAGTATCACCTCTGGTTTATGCAGTGTTAGCAATGGAACCCAGGAATTCACGCATGCTAGGCTAACCCTCTACCAACTGAGCCATAAACCCAGCCTCAGCCAGCCCCTCCCCTTTTAATATTGCTTGAATTTGCTACTATCCTGCCTCTGTTTCCTGAATATTGAGATGATAAGCATGTACCACTAGGCAGGGCTGTTTTTTGAAATAGAGTGTCATTTTAGCTTAGGGAGGCCTGAAGGGGCAATCCTCCTGCTTCGGCCTTTTGACTGCCAGTATGACAAGGTATAAACCCTAGTTGTTAATATATATATATTTTTTTTTTTTTTTTTTTTTGAGATACAGTCTCAGGTAGCCCAGGCTGGCCTACAGCTTGCTGTATAACAAATTGGCCTTAAACTCCTGATCCTCTTGCCTCCACCTCCCATATCCTGGGATTAACAGGTGAACCACCACACCCAGGTTTTTTATTTGCTCGCATTTGTTTGTTTGTTTAAAGGCAAGGTTCATTATGTAGCCCTGGCTAGCCTGGAACTTGCTATGTAGACCAGGCTGGCCTTGAACGATCTGTTATCCTCTTGATTCAGCCACCATACAGTTGTTGGGGGCAGTTTTTGAGGCAGAGTGTCTCTAAGTAGCCCTAGAAGTGACCTAGAAGTCTCTATGAAGACTAGGCTGATCTCACAGAGATCTGACTGCTGTGGCTTCCCAAGGACTGGAATTAAAGGTATGTACCACCATACCATGCTATTATTTTCTTTTTGTTTGTTTGTTTGTTTTTTGAGACTGGGTCTCTGTGTATCCCTGGCTGTCCTGGAACTCACTTTAGACCAGGCTGGCCTCGAACTCAGAGATCTACCTGCCTCTGCCTTCTGAGTGCTGGAATTAAAGCATGAGCCACCACCACCCAGCTTATTTTCTTCTTAAAAATATTTTTTATATATTTTATTTGCATTGGTGTTGCCATAGGTGTAGAGTCCCCTGAAACTGGAGTTAAAGACCATTGTGAGCTGCCATGTGGGTGCTGGGAATTGAGCCTGGGTCCTCTGTAAGAACAGTCAGTGCTCTTAACCACTAAGTCATCTCTCCAGCCCCTTAAAAATATTTTTAAAATTAATTACATGTGTGTAGGTCAGAGGACAACATGCACAAATTAGTTATCTTGTTTCCCCATGTGGGACCAGGGATAGAACTCAATTTGTCAGGCTTGGCAAGTGCCTTTACCTACTGAGTCATCTCACCAGCCCTCTGTCTGTCTGTCTGTCTGTCTGTCTACCTGCCTACCTACCTACCTACCTACCTACCTACCTACCTACCTATCTATCTATCTATCTATCTATCTATCTATCTATCTATCTATCTATCTATCTATCTATCTATCATCTGCCTGTTTATCATCTACCAACCATCTATCTATCTGTCATCTATCTATCAATCATCTACCTACCTACCTACCTACCTACCTACCTACCTACCTATCTACCTATCTATTATAGCCCCAGCTGGGCCAAAACTTAGAATCCTCCTATTTCAGCCTCTTCTGGGTTTGGGATTACAGGCATGTGCTACCAAGCTCAGATCATCAAGTATTTCCTTGAACACCTCTGGTGTGCCCAATGTTTTGTCAGGTACTGGACCTGCCAGGTCACCAACCTACAGTTGATAATGTCCACATAATCTCCAAATAGGCCAGTTGGTGGGAACAGTTACAGTGTCTTAGTTCCTGTCCTGTTTGCTGTGATAAAATACCCTGACAAAAGCAACGTAAACAGGTCACACTCTATCACTGCAGTGAAGTCTAGTGGCAGGAATCTCTGTCTTAAACAAATTAGCTGGTGGCGTGGTATCATAGTCCAGAAGTGGAGAACAAGCAACACCAGTGCGCATGGCTCTCCTTTCACTGTCCAGGCCAGCCTATGAGATGGTGCCAAACTCACAGTCTTCTCACCTCACGATATTAAGAACATTTCTCACAGGCAAGTCCATAGGCCACCCTGATCTGCACAATCCTTCCTTGAGACTCCCATCCCAGGATTCCAAATTCTGTCAAATTGACCATTAACACAAAACATTGGAGAGGGAAATGTTGGGATAGTGCAACGAAACACTTGGGGGCCAAGAGTGGTCTTAGGAACTGGAAGATAGCTCACTGTATAAAATGCTTCCCATACAAGCACACAGGCCTGAGTTCAAATCCCCAGAACTGACATAAAGCCAGGTGTAGTAGCTTATTTGTGTAATCCCAGTGTTCCTAAGGCAAGTTGGGTGGTGGATACAGAATCCCTGGGAACTCACTGGCCAGCCAGCCTGGTTTACACAAGAGGAAAACATCAGGGAGACCATATCTCAAACATGCATTCCTGTTCTCATACACCAACATACAAACACACACAAAGATTGAGAGTTGTGTGGGTGAGGGAGAGGCCTTGGCTGGAGGTGAATCCCCAAGTTGAGACCTGAGGGATTAAAACAGGAATTTAGAGAGCCTAGGGAGAAGAAAGTCCTGGCAGAAAACATAGCAAGTGCAAAGGCCCTGAGGCCAGGAGGAGTAGGTCAAGCTAAAAGAAGGGGTGGGGTTGTAGCAGCTCATGGTGTAATGCTTACTTAGCATACATGAGACCCTGAGTTCAAGCTGTAGAATCCAATAAGAATCCCAGCACTTGAGAGGTAGGTAGAGGCAAGGGGATTAGAAGTGGAAGGTCATCCTTGACTGCATAGGGAGTTTGAAGCCAACCTGGGCTACATGAGACCTGTCGTGTAATACTATTCTTGGGGATATGTGAACAGACATCTGAGATGTTTTGTTTGAGCAAGACAGGGTTTCTCTGTAGCTTTTGCACCTTTCCTGGAACTTGCTTTGGAGACCAGGCTGGCCTTGAACTCACAGAGATCTGCCTGCCTCTGCCTTCCTTTGAGTGCTGGGATTAAAGGCGTGCGCCGCCACCACCGCTCAGCTTAAGAAAGAGTTTATTGGTTCAGTATCTAAGAGCTTACATTTTACCTGCAAGTAGGAGACAGAGAGGGACTAACCAGGAATAATATGGGCTTTTGAAATCCTGCCCCAGTGACGTATCTCCTCCAACTATGCCAGACCTCCTAATTCCCTAATAGTTCCACCAGCTGGGGACCAAATATTCAAATACATGAGCATACATGAGCCATTTTCATTCAAACCACCACTCTATATGTCTGTCTGTCTATTGAGAAAGGGTTTTATAGCCTAGGAGGACCTCAGACTTGCAGAGGTTGGTCTTGAACTCATGATCCTTCTCCCTACATTGCTCAAATGTTGGGATTACAGGTGTGTACTACTACATCTCCACCCCCTCTGTTTCTTTCTTTTCTAGGGTGGTGGTAGCAGTTGAACCTAGGGCCTCACTCATGCCAAGCAAGTGTTGTACCATTAAATTATACCCCCAGATATAATATTTAAATGATTTTGAGCTGGACATTGTAGCACATTATCAACACTTGGAAGCAGAAAGGTCAGAAGTTCAAGGCCCACGTGGGTTGCAGGAGATCCTATCTCAGAAAACAATAACAACCCACCATGGTGGCAGTGCTGGTGATCGTGGTGATGGTGATGATGTATATATAAAACAAGTTTCATGATGTAGAAATTTCTATTTGTGGTACCACAATGACATTTTAAAGATTTGTTTTTAAGCTAGGCATAGTGGTGCACACCTTTAATCCCAGCACTTGGGGAGACAGGCAAAAGGACTTCTGTGAGTTTGAGGCCAGCCAGGTCTTCTACATTGCAAGTTCCAGGACAGCCAGGACTACACAGAGAGACCCTGTCTCAAAAAGCAAACAAACAAAAAAAAGGATTTATTTTTATTTTTTATTTAGGTGTATATCTGTATGTGTGGTCACTTGTGTGCAGGTGCCCACAGAGGCCACTAGAGGGCATGGGATTCCTCTGGAACTAGAATTATATAGGTGGTTGGTTGTAAACTTTTGACATGGATAATGAGAACAGAACTCTGGTCCTTTGGAAGAGTAGCAAGTTCTCTTAACTTCAAGCCCTGCTTTCCAGTTGCCTTGCTCTACCCACCCATCATCCTGGTGTTTTATAAGTTTCAGATTTTAGAACATTTTGGATGGTAGATTTTTAGAATAGGATAGTCAGTCTGCTCTAGTTATGTGAATTTGCATGAATATATTAACTTCTCTGTTGGCTCCATTTGCCCATCAGTAAACTGGATGCAAGCACTCAGCAGACTCCATAAGATTAATTATTAATTAAATAATAACACTGGCCGGGTGGTGGTGGCGGCGGCGGCGGCGGCGGCGGCGGCGGCGGCG